TCATTAGTTTAGCTAGTCTAATAACGTAAAATTTGGTAATTAACCCTAGTCCCTGTGGGATCGACCTTGATAGCTACTCGTGTACACCCACTTGCACCCAATCGCCTTCCGCCCCTTTGGAAGCTCTACAAGCTCCCATGTATCGTTCTTGTGAAGAGACTCCATCTCCTCCTGCATAGCCACCTGCCACGAATCAGCCTCCGAACTCTGCTCGGCCTCTCTGAATGTAGTAGGCACCATCTCATCGATACTCTCCACCGGAAGTGCATATGCAACTGTGTCGGCATACCGTGCTGGCACCCGTATGTCTCTCCTCTGTCTCCGTGCCGCAATAGAATCCTGAACCTGAGCCGTCGGTCCCTGATCCTGCTCATGAGTACCCGTATCCTCCGCATCACCGTCGTGCTCGCCTGGCGTCACCTCAGTCGGCACTCTCATGGATACTGCACTATCTGGACTCTGTGGAGCTGCATCAATCTCCACCACCTGCGAAATCTCCTCTGTCGGGTTGCTCTCCACCTGATGAGAGCTGGGAAGCTTCAAGATAGAAGCCTCATCGAATGTGACGTCCCTACTCAGCACAATCTTCTTATCAACTGGATCCCAAAGCTTGTATCCCTTGACACCACGCTTGAATCCTACAAATATGGCCTTCCTAGCTCGAGGTTCCAACTTATCAGTTCTAACATGATAATATGCAGGGCAACCAAATACCTTAAGCTGGTCATAGTCATGTGCTGTCTCTCCCGACCACATCTCCATAGGGGTCTTCCCCTCAATCGCAGATGAAGGCAGCCTGTTAATGAGGTGGCTCGCATAAGAAAGTGCCTCAGCCCAAAAGATCTTCTCCAAACCACTATGCGCCAATAAACATCGAATCTTCTCCAGCAAAGACCGATTCAATCTCTCTGCCACCCCATTCTGCTGCGGTGTATGACTAACTGTGAAGTGCCTCTCTATGCCCTCGTCTCGACATAGCTGCAGAAAGGGGTCTGAGGTATACTCGCCGCCGTTGTCGGATCGCAACGTCTTGATCTTTCTCCCAGTCTGCAGTTCCAATCTCTTCTTCCACTCCACAAACAAATCTAGGACTTCACTCTTATGCTTCATGGTGTACACCCAACATCGCCTAGAATAGTCATCAACGAACGTGACGAACCAATGTCGACCACCAAGTGATGCCGTCTTAGTGGGACCCCAAACATCTGTGTGCACGTAGTCCAAGATGCCCCTCGTCCTATGAATGGCCGTCCCGAACTTCACCTTCGTCTTCTTGCCAAGTACACAGTGCTCACAGAATTCTACTTTACCACTCTTGGCTCCCTTCAAAAGCCCCTGCTTGCACAATGCCTGCAGTGACTTTTCACCTGTATGCCCTAGCCTGTAGTGCCAAAGTCTGCTCATGTCCGCCTCTGAAATCGCCGAAGCAACCTGGCCAATCTCGGTGCTCCCCTTCAGATAATATAAATTATGATTTCGGACTCCCTTCATCACCACCAAAGATCCCTTAGTAACCTTTGCTACAGCATCCTCAAAGGTCACCCTGAATCCCTTCGCCTCCAAAGCCCCCACTGAGATAAGATTCTTCTTAAGTTGAGGAACGAATCTCACCTCCTTCAGCTCACGGACTACTCCATCGTGCATCCGAATCCTCACAGTACCTATCCCACGAACGCCACAGGATTGATCATTTCCCATGACCACAACACCCCCATCGAGTCTCTCAAATGATGAGAACCAATCTCGCCTAGGAGTCACATGATAAGTAGCGCCAGAATCAAGCATCCACTCCGATGCATCCAAATGGTTCACCTCCGGAGTAATCAAAAGAGAAAAGCTCGAATCATCGGAATCATCGCCTTTCGCAACATTCACCTCATTGGCCTTCGGGCCCTTATTCTTGCTATTCTCCTTTTCTTTGACTTTCGGGCAATCTCTTTTCCAATGTCCCTGCTCCTTGCAGAATGCACATTGATTCTTTCCAAGCTGGTGACGACCTCTTGACTTTGACCTCCCTCTGTTTCCACCTTTCTGATATGAGCTTCTACCTCTCGCCGACAAGGCCTCTCCTGAAGTACTAGCGCGGGAAGTCTCCTTATCCTTCCTCCTCAAATCATAGTTCGTCAATGCGTTAGTCACTTCACTATAAGTGATAGAAGATCTCCCGTTCAGCAACGTAAGCACGAAGGTATCATACTCCTCATCCGGTAAGGAGCCCAAAAGAATAATAGCCTTGTACTCATCTGTGATCTTCTCATCCACGTTCGCCAAGTCCGACAACAACTTAGTGTAGTTGTTCACATGAGCCGCAAGCGAGGTACCTCTGGACATCTGGAATCTGAATAACCTTCGCAGCAAGTGCAACCGGTTCTCAACACTCTTCGTAAGGTACTTATTGTTGAGAATTTCCCACATCTTCATCGCAGACGTCACCCCAATCACATCGTATTTCAGCTCCTGTTCCAAACAGGACCTGATCACCCCGCAAGCATTTCGATTCATCTTTTCCCATATCGCCTCTTCATATTTAGGTGGCCTCACATCGACCATGATGGTCTCCTCCAGATTTTGAGCATTGAGCGCATCCTGTACGTCGCTCATCCACAAACCAAAATTGATCTTGCCGTCATATTTCACAACACTAATCTTAGTGTTCTGAAAACCCACTTAAACTGTGCCTGTCATCTTGCTGCTTTCACCAATTACTTCACCCATAATCACAACTTCCAAATTGTAGAGAAAGATCCAAACTTTGAAAGAATAAGAAATTACCCAACTGAACCCTAGATTGGATTCCAAATAGAACTCCTAACCACACGAGGAAAGCGAGATCTTCAACGGCAACTTCAAACCCTAACTCCACCAAAGCCTAGAACTCCAAGAGCCAAGCTTCAAACTGAATCTTCCTCCACCTAATCCAAAACCCTAGATCTGAATCTGGGCTCTGATACCACTTGTCGCGCGCCTTTGCGGAAGCCTTGCACGAACTCACAACGAACCTGTGATCACGAGTCGAAGAAAGCCAAACTCTTGCACAAATCCAACCAATAACGCCAAATCAATCCAAACACAGAGATATACGTGGTTTGGTAATTTGCCTACGTCCACGGGGAGAGGATGGGGAGATTTCACTAAATCAAAGAGAGTACAAAGGGTTACAATCACACAAATTCCCTCAACCAAAGATCTCACCTTGCTCACAATATCTCCCTCTCACAATGCTCAAAAGATTCCTCAATCTCTGATATAAAACCCTCACAAATCGTTTCCCTATTTATACCAAAACAAAACCCCAATCAGAGTGCAAACAGGAAACCTGAATATGCAAAATACCCATCGTAAGTCGACTTAACAGAGTGCGTAAGTCGACTTGGCAGAGAAAAAAACAGCAACTGGAGAACACTTTATAAGTCGACTTATCAGGTTTTATAAGTCGACTTGGTAGAGCGAAAATTCACAATTCCAACACAGATCGTAAGTCGACTCGTGCACACTGGCAAGTCGACTTACCATAAGTCGACTTAGCCTTGTGCATGAGTCGACTTATGCCAGTTTTTCTGGTTTTTCTGATTTTTCCACACTTTGATTTCCTAATTATTTTTGCGAAACGAACAGCCCCTGAAAGGAAAATGATAACCGTACTATTCTGAAGGTTCGTAATTCTGACGGGTCGTAATTCTATACTATTCTTATACTACCGCTGACAAATACGTGGGATTTCTTCTTACAAATTGCGAGTCATTATGAATCCTACTTTTTTATTTGTGAGAGTTGAAAAATACTGTAAGTTTTTTTGTACAGTTATCACCACTCTAGTTGAAAGCAAGATACAAAAGTAAATAGTTGGCAAAATAAGAGTGAAAATGAACCAAATAATTTGTCTTCTTGCCCCTGAATATTTGGTCATAAGGTTGAGGACCTGTCTGGTCCATTTTCTTAAAATTTATAAAATAGAATCTGATGCTAAATACCCATTTTCATGGATTTGGATCCTCTCCACTACAAAAAAGTAGTGGAGAGACCACTACTTTTAATTTCAAGCGTTGATTATTTAGTAGGCGGTTATGATACAATCTAAATCTAACACTTACCATACCCCCGTGTATTGCACTCATTCCTAATTTGCAATAAAAGAAAAAATCATAACCATCAACTAGATAATCAATGGCTGTGATTATGTAGTGGTCCCTCCACTATTTTTTTTTTAGTGGAGAGGATCCGAATCCCATTTTCATAGGCTTCCATGCATGTCTCGGGAGTATTATTTTTGTGTTTGTTTCGGCATAAAATAAAGAGTGAAAGCTGAATTTTATTATGATCTATTGTTTGTTTCAAACCCAAACAAATAAGAACGCAAAAGCGGGGGGGAAAAACATTTGCAGCAATTCTCCAATAATGTCACATTATTTTAGCATTAAATTTCATCTTTCTAGGTCAGCTCTGGGCAAACATATCAAAAAACGATTTCCAGCAAAAAAGGTGACAGTTTATGACGTTGCAAAAATAATTAAAATGAAAATAAAAAAATAAAAAACTTATATTAATTGGATGTTGAGAGAAACACAACAATAGAAAAAGAAGAAAACAAAAAAAAAATTCCGTCTTGACATCATCAGACGGTTTCCAAATGCTCCGTGAGGCTTCCCCGTGAAACAAGCCGGCTCTTGTAGCAGCAAATAACTAACCTTTTTGCATTTCGGTACGCACACGGAGAGAATTACTCAGCAAGCAATTACAATTAACATTTCTTGTAACTTTTCCACTGGATTTTTCAACACAGATCAGTTTATAGCATGTAGCAACATCTAATTACCACATTTTTTCTCTGCCAAGCAAGATGATCGCATTCCTTGCAAGAGAGATTTCACAGCCAGCAGGAGGAGATTTTTCAGCAAGAAACAAGGGGGAACAGCAGCTATTCTGAACATACACAGAATGCTTCAAGGTTTTTTATTTTTATTTTTTAATTTCAAGCAAAGAACGAATAAAAATATAAATGTATTACATACAAAATCTCCTACTTATAGTCTGCATTCTTTTACCTTCTCAAGGAATAACAAGTAATGTACACACTCCCTCTTTGAAGGGCTTAAGCTTCCCGCGAAGAGATTAGCAACATTCTTAACAACTAGTAAATAACATTTAAAATCCAGATTGCCACTTGAAGGGTCTCATAGGACAAATAAAGCAAGCAAACAGACTGCGATTGCTTTGATTCAAGATGCAACCAAAATAAATTCAGGCAACTGGTAAAGTACCTGTTCCAAAAAGATTAAAGAGTAATGTTAGGTTCACAGGAGAAAATGAGGGTTTGAACTTGTAGCAGTTATGCAGCTGTAAAGACCTTCCTTGTGAAAATTAGGAATACAATAGAAACAAGTATATTACTACACAAATTCTAATAATACTATTTCACCATGGATTAGGAGAATACAAAAGAGAAAAAAAAATTTTCCCTTCTCCGCAGATCATAACAAACCTAAAAGATGTATAATATCTCAGAAGTTAGAAGCATCAGACAGGTAAAAGGTAATTGTAACTTGGGATAGTTTCTTCATCAAGTTGAGTTTATAGCAATGACAGTTGTAATCACTACACCACATGCTGAGTAAATCAACATGGACATCAAATAAAACAAAAACAGAGAACGAGAAATAAATTCGAAGTAAGTCGATCATAAAGTGATGAGCATGAAGCATTCTTTCTGAGGGAAACAAAGTTCAAAGTTCTGCCACCCTTAATAGAACCTATTACGGGCAAATTCTGCCACCCTTAATAGAATCAATAATGAGCAGAAGGATACAATACAATCTAGCAAGGTATAAATCTCTCAATAAACTTCAGAATTGGAGTTAGACACAGAATCTACAAAGAAAAATTATAATTTTTCAAACCACAAGAACCGATTGAAACTTTTGCCGTGTAAGCTCTTGCCCTAGTGTAACATCACATCTTTAATCGCTCAAATCCCTTTGAACAAGACTCAAGCATGAGCTTTGTCACGACCCCAAATTCCGAACCCAAAAAGAATATTGGAGCCGGACTAAACCTGTAAAAAAAATCCTCCAAAATATGCATTCATTAAAAGACCATCAAAATAAACTCTTCATCGAACTAAAACCAACAATAAATATTCTTTATAATCCCAAAAGTCAAAACTAATCCAATTAACTTAATAAAAACAATTATTCCTCAAATTGAAATAATACTCGACCTAAAGGAAATAATCTCATTATTACAAAACTCTCAATTCATCAACTAAACATCAAAGACTTTATTTAACCTTCGTCTAGAAGACAATTACAATCTCGAATTATATTCCTTGCTCCGTTCTAAAAATTTGACAAATCCTCAATTCCACCTAATCCCGAGTCTCTGAAAAGAATGAAAACAACACAATGAGTTCACAACTCAATAAGTGCATAAATTCATACATTAGACACTGGTTTTGCAAAACTAAAATAAATTGACTTGATAAACAAAATACTAAAATAGTAAAAATTATAATGCAACATTTTCAAAATATATACATGCAATGGAAATAAATAGATCACGTCTCAATGTGGTCAACACTTCGATACTCCGGTTGACTTGGCAAACCCCACTATTATATAGCCCGTGATCGGGACGGTGAGACCCAAACTTGGGCTATTAGCGCTAAAATAAAAACCTCATAGAGGCACATTGAGCCATGTTTTAATAACTTACTTATATCCGACATATACTGGTATATTGACCTGAGATGCATATGCTTTAAGAAAAATCGAATAAAGTTTGTAAAACTAAATGAGTTATACAAAAATGCCAAAGGCCAACCAGTAGTGAAATCAATCAACCACAAATGCATCTCAGCTTACTGCTATGTGAAAAGACATAACAATTGACAAAGAAAATAAGCATAGGCTTATACCAAATAACCACGTGCATTTATCCAAACATTTAGTATGCGCGTAAATCACACAACAAGATATAATCCATCAAAAATAAATATGCACATACGTAATAAAATATTATATGAAAAATACGCAGTGCACAATGCATAAATTCACCACTTACCTTAATTCGAAAGACAAACCAAAATTTTAACGCTCACAGTGTTTCTCAGGAGCCTGTAGGAACCCCTCATTTCTGCTCACGTTGACAATCCTTTCCTCAAGGTTATCTGTGTCGCTAATTCCTAGCTTCTGAAGCAAAGAAATTATCAATGTTGAAAATAGCGATAACGCATAGCGTAACGCTTACCTCCGGTTAGGTTACAATAGCGATAACGCATAGCGTAACGTAGGTTAAATAATTTATTATTATTTAAATAATTTATAGATATATAACATTCAAAGTAAAAAATATGAATAATCATCGCAATTCTTAATTTCACAAATCAATATATGATCACAATTTCACAACAAAATCAACCGTGTTTGCCTTAACGATCAATCCAAAGGCGAAATTCGACGATAGATCAATAACTAACCGAAACCTAACATCGTGTGTTCCAGCCAAATAGATCAAATTTCTCACGCTAATCACGTTAAAGAGTAAAACAATGGCAACTTCAGGGAACAAGTCAAGCTCACCCTTCCACACATATTAATTTTTATGGCTTTAAGCGTGAAACATAGTCTGATTATCAGTATTCAAGATTGTATTATGTATTTACCTTGCTAATTTCAGAAGTTGAATGGCGGGAGAGGACGACGATGTCGAAAGGGGCGGCGGGAGACGACGATGATAGCAAGAGTTAGGGTTTTGTTAGAATTTAATAACTTATGAGAAGTGAGAGAGTCAATCACAGCCGTTGAATTATTTTAAAAGCAATCCAAGCTATTAAACAAAATAACCTACGTTACAAAACGCCACGACGCTACGTTACGTAGCTTACGCTATGGCTAAAATAGCGCACGTTATTTTGTCCGTGCGCTATTTGAAAACGCTATGTAGCGTTAGGTTAACGCTACGTTACGTTAAGCGCTATTTTGCGCTACGAAACGCGCTATTTTCTACACTGGAAATTATAGCCATGATGGTAGCAGGTCTTACGTGCAAGTCATCTGTAATCACATATCTTGTACTTTTTCTTTTTTAGAAACACATTGCTCTTTGAATTATTTCTATTCTTTATCCAATGAAAATATTGATCCATTGCCTTTCCGCAGAGGCAGGAAGAACCACAAAACGAACTATAAAGCCTATTCTTGGTAAAATAATCAAATATTGGGCACCTGTAGAGTCGTCGGGGCTTTAAATCGTCAGCATTGACCTGTAAATCTTCACATAGCATTTCTGCTTCACTTCTGGGCTGGAGCAACATTGTCTTACAAGCTTCAGTCTCCAGATACTTGAATCTAGATTCTCCACGCTCACGTACAGTTTGTTCAAGCATCCAACCGACGACCGCTTATTGAGAAGTCTAGTAATGGTTCCCATTGGCAACGTCAAGAAGCTAAAAAGAATGTTGGCTTAATCATTTTCCGATTCAACAAACACCACCTTGTTGTTTGATGTCAACATGGAGCATCAATCTGACAGTGGACATGATACTCAAGGATTTTGAGATTACAAGCTCCTCATAAAACTAATTCATCGTTTTTTTTTCTAGCAGCGGCTTGGAGGAAAGGCAATGCCTAGGGTTTAGTTTATTAGGTGCACATTCACAAAAAGAACCCCTAACAAACTTCCATTAGCAAAAATACCCACTTAACAAACATATTGGATATATTATCCTAGTCACAATTAAATAACTTGAATAATTATTATAGAATTTTATAAAATATAATATTTATTATCAATTCAAAAATTTTGGGTTATTACCTAGTATCTCTCTTGATGGAAGTTTTGTCCTCAAAACTTGTACATACTTGAATTGTCCATAGATCATGTAATTATTTTCTTTAAACTCCTTAATCTGACTATGATTGTATTATGATACTAATGTTAGCATCAGCATATACTCAAATCTCCTCCAATAATTTCATGAGCATATTAGCTAATAATGGTCAGTTCAATAATTTGAATAAGTACTAAAATAATTTATAGTATAATTATTGTCAATTGAGAAATTTGGGATAGTATAAGCTTATTGCTTGTTAATATTTTAGAATGGGAGAAAATAGTTCAAAGATTTCACCAGCATAATCAAAGTTCTTATTGGAATTCCTTCAGAAGAAGAAACTAGTTTCTCAACAAGCTCGGTAATGGTGGGTAATTAATCAACATCATTCTCGAGAGAAAATGAACCTTAGACTTATCAGCTCTTATTCCCTTTTCTTAAAGGAAGCAGGATCTGTACACTTTGTGTTTGATAGACCATCTTGTGATAACTAGCAAAGAAACAAATACAAAAGCAGAAAAGATTATGCTACATGTTAGAGATTTTATGGAGATTTAACCTGCAGAATTAAACACTAAACAAATAACGACACCAATGAAAATACCACAAGCAAGCAAACACCAAGATTTAACGTGGTTCGACAAATCGTGCCTATATCCACGAGGCAATCCAGAGAGAAATATTTCACTATGAATCAAGAGTACAATCCCTCCAAGTTACACCTGAACTTGAGGATTAAATAACAAGAGAAAGATACAGTGTTATCTCTAGGGCACCAAAACCCTAAAACATGTCTCACCGAAAATCTCCAACACCCGCGGAGAAACCAACACCGTACCCTCGACAGCGTCGTCGTTCTGAAGACAACGGCTTTTAAATCACTGCAATCGGACAACCGATCTACCCAAAATCTGAACTTTTCTCTCTCCCCTATTTTCTTCTCTCGGGTTATTATTGTTGGGAAATTACCCGGATTCCCCTATTGTCAGATTTGAGAGAAAGCGAAAATAAATGCGCAAAAAGGGGACACGTAAGATTTACGTGGTTCGGCACAAATTTGCCTACGTCCACGGGCTGCTGCAGATCTTTCACTATTTGGGAGAAATATTACAAGTGTTTTTCACACTCAAACTCACAACCCTCTTCACTCTGAAAATTGCTCTCAATTTTCTCTCTTGGATTTTTTCACTCACAGAGTTTTCTTTCTTCTCTCTTAATCACTCTCTAAGCTTATGCTCTTTTCTGTGATTTTTGGAGTACGTTCACCAGAGGAAGAGAGGGGGGATTTTATAGGCTTCAATGTTCCCTTTTTTCTTCCTGACGTCTCTCTTTTGTCAACACACACCAACCCTTCCTGATGTCTTCGTCTGCTTTTGTCAAAAACTTTTAGGTGGCATGATCTTTTTGACAAAAAAAGAGCCACATGCTCTTTTGCATTTTTTTTTTATCAAAAGGGCTGCCCCCCTTGCTTTCGGTGGCAGCATTGACTAACAATTATTCACGGTTTACTGTAGCACCAAAAAATTATAGGTTTATCATGAATATAATTCCTTTATAAAGGAATTTTATTTTCAGGTCATCCAAACATATTCCTATTACAACTAGATCCTCCAAATCCTTTTATAGATAGAATTTTAATTGATGTGGGCATTATCTTGGGCTGGACCCACAACACTACAACTAATAAAATACCAAAAGAAAGTTAACCAGATCTTTTAATTTTAAAACGGCAGCAATTTTTTGGTATTTCCTAGGAGATTCAGGAAGAGGTTAGGAATGCAACTTCACTCTCTCATGGAGTCAACAATGGGAAGGGGGAAAAAGAGAAGACACTCATCCACCCAAAAAGCGCTAAAAGTTTGAAATTGCTAGTCCATTCTACTATTCAGGTTGCTTTTTCATACATGCGAAACCTTTTTTTTTTTTTAGTATAAAATCCTACACCCCCAAGCTTTTTGAATTTTACGGACACTGATATCATATGCTTGAAAGATGTAACTGTGAAACTACAATTTGCTAAGCGTGAACGTGAAATCACGGACGGAATATGTGAATTTGTGATGATATATTTGAATGTTTAATTGTGAGTATAGCTTGTACTAATCAAATGTTTCAAATTATTTTTAGATTATCTATAGTTTGGAATCATATTCCTGTTTGTTAAATTTAAAATTATTGCAGACAGTTGAATTATCTATTTTTAATTAACAACACTAAAGGCCAAGGAAGAAGACTAATCTAACTGAAATCTTTGTGGGTAGACACATTTATCCATATCTTCCTTTTTTTCTGTTAATACTTTAATTATTGTTGTGCGAACAGCTTTTCCGAAAACCTGACCGTCATTATGCTTCAACAGGTAGCAGATAGAATTCTCTTACGCTTGGAAAAGTCATAGCAACAATCTAAATAAAAGAATTCAAAGAAAAACATTTTAAGCTATTAATTTAACAACTTAAAAATGAAAGTAATAAAACTCTTACTGGTTGATCAGAAACCATGCATGCTTGCAGCAACAGACAAATAAATAGTTTCAGGAAAAAATGGATGCTACCTGAAGAACCAATGAGTAATTAATCAGCCTACAAGTTCGCCGTCGTCTTTGTCAGATATCTCATTTCGTAAAGGACCCTTCATCCCATGATCATTAGAGCCAAGAAGTTCACGAGCTGCTTTCTCAAGAAACTCCTGTGCAGCAGCACGGACAGACTGTTTCTCAGATGGTGAGTGTTTTCTTTTGTTATTAAATCTACTCCTGGTGTCCTCTTGTCTACTAATTTCCCTCATACTATGCCTTTGTCCTGAAAAAAATTCAATGCCTTTTGACAAGGGAAAACATAAGGAAGTGATGGAATACAAGAAATTATTGTCTTATACCTGGTGTTAAATCAGGCAGAGAATGCTCAATGAATCGGGTTGCTGCCTGCCGATTTATAGTAGTTGAGGGTCTCAATGGTGCTATAGGAGACATCAGGACATGAAAGAAACATGAGCAGCGTCTCAAATAAATAATTAGGTAATTCAACTGCTAGGAAAAGTTGAGATCAAACTTAAAAAGAAAACCAGTTGTGAAACTCTTCAAAGGAACTGAAGAAAATTATTTTCCTACTGAAGGAAAGCCTGCATTGCAATGCATTGATATCAAAAGATACAATCATGTCTTGCACATATGAAGCGGAAGACAACAAAGTTGGTCAAAACATTAATTTTTAAGTAATTTATTCATTAGAAAGCAAGTGTTCGTATTTTAAAATATAACCAAAATTTATCAGCGGACAGGCTCTATTTAGACAAGGTTACAAAGAGAAAATATTCGTACTATGAAAATACAGTATCTCGGCCAGCTTTGTATAGAGCCTCAAAACCTGACGACGGACTTCATTTCTGCAGAAGTGACAGTAGATCTATCAAAACGATACAGATGGCAAAATCCTAGTTTGTTAAGTAGCTTCAGATAAACTTAAGTTGTTGAAACTAAGTTAACAAGTCATTGGTCTATAATTGCTCAAATCTCCTGTGCCTTCCGACTTGCAAATAACATAGAGAACATGAAACATAGAACATAACAGGGTCAAGGTCAAGTTGGTGTAGTATACCTGAATTACAAATAAAAGTAGACATATGGTCAAGTACCATAAGGTCCATAACCAAAATTAAAAAACCGAAAGACCAATGGATCAAGCATGGATCTACCAAACTTTGTTCCAAGTAAACTGAAGCCAACTGAAACCGGTAATACCAATAACAATTGGTTCAAAAAAGTGGTCCACTGCATAAAAATACAACTCTTATAAATCTGTTACCACCCAACCTCAAGAAGACACAACCACAACCTATCGGCTACGCCAGATTTCCCATCAATGACAAAACCTGATGCAGGTCAGACTCAGTTTAAACTTGACAACACACAAGCTGCCAGAAACTACCAACCTAGCAAAATTTTGACTGACATGCAATCTTCTACAAGTAGAACTAGGAAGATTAAAAACCCTGTCTAACATCTACAATTGGGAAAATATGAGAATTGAAGACTCAAAAGTTAGTGATTTCTTTCTTGTTTACACCCATGGACATAAGTCAATCTCAACCGAACCACGTAAATGAAAGTGGGTTGTCCTCCTTGTGTCATGTAATTTTTATCAGGTATCCCAGGACGGAAATTTCAAAGAATGTAAACATGATGCAGTCATATTAGGAAGGAAGCAGAAAAGGAATACTGCTCTACAACCTAGCTTCGGAGTTGGATATTCAATTATTAATGTTGGGCATATCAAAAGACTTACACTATGTACAAGAAAAGAAGCATCCATATGCACATCAATAGCACTATTTTGTTGACAGTAAGACAAGGCATGATTCTCAGCCAAACTCTATAAAAAATATGAAACTATATACTATGTCCATCAGTAGCTTGAGAGAATGCCATAATACCGCCCAAGTGGCTGTGCCCCAAGGAAATAGAGGTCCACCCACACTCAATGATGATGACAGTGAAATAAGACATGATTCTAAGACTCTATAAAGGATGTGTAACTATATCTTATGTGCTTCACTACCTGAGAGAATGCCACCATAACTCTAAAGATCAAACTGCCAAGGTATCCCATTCTTCCAAATCCGTATTGTTGAAACTCACAAGGAACTATGTTTCATGTGTCCAAAGTATTAACATCTTAATAATGGTACACCAATGTCCGAAAAACACCATGTTTGCAAAAAATTCCATGTTTGAGCTTTACTATATTTATTTATAGAGTAATTTGCTTTCTTGAAAGCACATCATGCAAAAAATACTATGTTTGCAAGTAAAGAAAAGCTCAATTGACATTGGAAAGACAAAGATGAATGTGCTTTCATTGATATATAGAGTCCAACCAGCGATTCTATGAGAAGACCACAAACACTTAAGCCAAATTTGGATGATTTGGACTAAAATCATTTGGATCTCATTTGGAAAGAAAATCCGTTGTAACGCACATACAATCTCTTAATGGTATTGAGCATTGATTGGATGAACCAGTTAAACCATTGGAACCACCCCATTTTTTAGCGGTTTCATTACTTTCAAGTTGGTCCGAGTTGAAATCTTTGTCAACCTGATTGGACTGTACTTGAATCTTGCATCAAGAACTCGTGACCTCAGCCTTTTTGTATCTCACTCTCTGTTTCACGCTAGTCCCGATCAACCCAACCCAACTCATTTCTCAACCATACTTAAAACCTATTTATCTCCCCTCACTCTGCCCTTTCCTCTCTTTCTCTCTCCCCTTTTTAAATCTTCTACCAAGAAGCTCCAAGTGACTGAAGGTAACCGAGCACCAAACTTGAAAAACCATAGATATGCTCCCTCTCGCTAGGATTTTCTCTTTTGATCTCCCTCGGCATATTTGACATCAAAGCATTGTGCATCAGCTCAAGCAGTCTCTAACGTCACCACCAAGGGCCTCTGTGATTCTATCAAGTTCCTCGAGGTTGATGGTGTGCTTAGGAAGTAAGGTTGGATGGAGAGTTCCTCGATGTTGTATTATTTTTGGGCATAAGCTACAATGATGGTTTTGTTCGATTTTGACAAAGATGACCAAAACTGACCCTTTGCTCTCCCGTCTCTCTTTAATAGGACTAATTAGGATTCCTTCCTTAATGGTTGTAGGAACTAATATGGATATTCATTATCAAGTTTTATGTCATTATGTTAAAATCAATAATATTTTAAATTTATCCCTAAACCTATGCATTTGCTAATTTACCCCCTCAACTTTACC